TTTCCCTTTGTTCTTGCAGTCTAGAAAGAACACTTGCTCTGTAAAAATTCTTTCAGGATCACATCCTTTGTAATCTCTGTAATCTGCTGAATCAGAAAGCATGTAATGTAGAAAAGTGCTGATCTAACTAAAAATCTTGTGCACAGTAAACAGAGGCAGGTATAATAGTATTAATTACCTGCCTATTAATATTCATTGTATATCCCTTTGTTCTTGCAGTCTAGAAAGAACACTTGCTCTGTAAAAATTCTTTCAGGATCACATCCTTTGTAATCTCTGTAATCTGCTGAATCAGAAAGCATGTAATGTAGAAAAGTGCTGATCTAACTAAAAATCTTGTGCACAGTAAACAGAGGCAGGTATAATAGTATTAATTACCTGCCTATTAATATTCATTGTATATGAGTTAACATTTCTAAAAAATATTTAAGGGAAATATTGATAGATATGTGAATTAATACACTAAAATGGTTAAAAAAACTGTAACTGGTGCTGAATCATTGCTTACTTGGAACATTATGTTGGGGGTTTGAGGTGGAATGAGCATCCGCAATAAAGAGGTCCATTTTCTCCATCCGCTCCTGGGTATTCTGTTTCTTCTCTAACAGAAAGCACTTCGACTTCTTCTAGAAGGGTACCCCAACCTCTTTTAACACAAGAGAACTTTTAAAAAAAGAGAGAAATCAAACTCCAATCTCTGATAGCTGACCTCTCAATCTTAGGCATGCATACACAGACCTCCTACTATGTTCCAGGACAGAAGAATCAAATCATCGCCTTAAGGTGATTTTATTAACAAAACCAAAGGATATACTTGATAAAGCATACTTAGTTGCTAGTTGTTACAGAGCAACTGAGAAAAGGACAGCTTAAAACACAGAGAACTTGTATCTCTGGGATACAACTTAAAATACATTATACAAGGGGGTATATGAACTTGGCACAGAGAAGTGTAACCTAACAACAAAACAAAGAAAATAACCTGATCATGTCTAAATAGACATTTCATTCCCTATCTACTTACAGATTCATGGTTTAAGGTCCAGTCCATTACCAAGCCAAGTATTCCTTGTATACATTGTAGTTCTGCCTGGCTCACTTCATCTTGTTCTCCCAACTCCTGGCTTAAAACTCACACAAAGAAAAACAGCAGGCTTCCAATATCTTCCAATTCAAATTTCAACACCCTCTCCCATTGGCTCTCCTGGCTCCCTGCCAACACTCCCTAGCTACTTGATTTTAGCCCTTTAGTCTCTGAAAAAACTTAAAATACAAAAAATGGTCTTGCAGCACCTTAGGCTAGGTCTACACTACAGAATTCTTGCGCAAAAACTCACAGAGCGTCCGCACCTCAAGTGCATTTTTGTACAAGTAAAACAAAAGAGGGGTTTTTCTGGTGTAGGTATTCCTCCTTCTACAAGGAATAACTCCTTTTTGTGCAAGAGTTCTTGCACAAAAAGGTGAGCATGGATGGAGAACAGGTTTTTTTTGTGCAAAAAGAGGCAATCGAAAAAAGCACAGGTGCCCTGGTGGCCATTCTGTACATAGCAATCGGAGTTTCCTTTCGAGAGAGCATCCATGCAGTCTGGATGCTCTCTTTTGCAAAAGCGCAACACTTTTTCAATATGCCTTTGCAGTGTGGACGTGCTCTTGCGCAATACGTTTTTGCAGAAGAGCCCGTAGTGTAGACGTAGCCTTAGATACTAACAAAAATGTAAATGGTATCATGAGCTTTTGTGGGCACAACCCACTTCTTCAGATGAAAAAATTGGGTTGTGCCCAATGCCCATGAAAGCTCATGGTATCGTCTACAAGGTGCTGCAGGACCATTAATTGTTTTAAAAGTTTTTTTCAGTTACAGATAACACAGCTCTCCCTCTGATACCTTTAGTCATCAAATGCTGGCCAGCACTCCTCCTATCCATAACACAAGGATACATATCATTGGGAGTTTGAGATCACCACCACTTCTTCTCTCATAATCCTTCTGTGCTTGCTCTAGTCAAGTTTCAGGGCAATCCTTCCTTCTTTATTTTCTGTCCAGGCAAGTTTCTGCACAGGAAGATAATATTAAGCTTTAATTACTCTTGGCTAGGTTTGTAGTTGGTATAAAGTAACATCTCTCCATTGAAGTCAGTGGTGTTATTGAATTTATACCAGCTGAGGAGCTTGTTTATTAATTTTTTCTTGCTTTGTTAGTTATTATTGTAAAAGAACCAAGCCAACTATTGACAGAAATTTTACTATGTTCTTATTTTTTTCTGACGGAGGAGATTTGCAGTTTTTAAAATTTGTCTTTTACTTCAGCTGACATCTAGTTGTCTCTTGTATATGATTTTTAATTTAAGTAAAAAGAATATTATGATTGAAGAAAAGATATCTCTATTATAGTTCACTGAGCTCTAGGTCAGCATAGTTTCTCATTTATTTCATTTTGGTGTGTAATTTTTTACCATAGCTCTGTAGTAAATTTCTTACATTAAAAAGTTTTAATACAATTGAAAGCACATCAATAGGCAACATCCAATTTATGTGGCAATCCTGAACTGTAGTCATTGGCAATAGAGAAATAATAGAATAGAAGTATTGACATGTTTTCTTTATTTTGTTTTTAGCAATTTCACACTAATCATATACAACTATTGCATGTTTTCAGTAAAATAAAATAGTAATGGGCGATGGCATTAGATCTGAATGACAACTCAAATCAAATCCAAGCCTCTGTCAGGCAAACAAAAGAAGCATATTCAAGGAAAATGTCAAGAAAAATTGCCTTTAGACAATCTCAAATATCTTGATCCTTCACAGATAGACCTGCACAGCCTCTGGTTAATTCTAAAGCATATGAGGGGGCATGACAGGAATGCATCATTTCTATAGGTGTGGTTCAAAATCTGATTTCAGAAAGCCAGAGTTCACTGAATATGTCTTTCTTATCTCGATAAGACATTAAAACCAGTTCCCTATTCTGTCTTCAGATTATTTTTAAGGTAAAATGATTCTGGCCTTTTGATGAAATATGTGCAAGAAACAACTGTGATGTGAGTACAGAATCCTTTCAGTATATTTTCAAAAGACCTAAAGCAGTTTATTAAATATGTTTATCAACATCAGTGAAGTAATTTTGTCTGTTTAGATGGCCTGTAGCTAGACAAAAATGAGCATGTAGAATCTTGCCATTTGGAGGCTTTTAGCTCTCTTGTTCTATATAACATTGTTTGTAATCAGATGTAACATGACAACAACATCTTGACAGGCTGATCATAACCTTCACTTGCAAAATTCATGCATCAAGACCGCAGACACATTCTTATTTAAACTATATTGTATTTATATACAGCAGGTGGATTTTGCTGCTAATCTGCTATAGAAAAACTGAAGAAATATTTAAGTTTTTATTGTTTTAATGCACAGCTTAGATATTTTCTATCTGAGAAAATTTAACTTTTCCCAGTCACACTAATTTATTTGGACAGTCATTCAGATTCACAAGACAATCGAAAAGAAGTTTCTATATATACTTCTGCTCCTTGGAGAATGTATGTCCAATTTTCTAGCTGCTAATCTGTTTCATAACCTCATGTTGGTGATAAGCAGGAGAGAGAGCCCCACCTCTGGGAAGGACTGTTCATATGAAGAGGTTATATCAGTGACTTTCATCCTGAAGTCCTATAACTCCATGCAACTTTTTGAAGATACCACGTGTCTCTTGAGTTGATCCATAAATATGGTTGGAACAATCAGAATATACCCATTATCTTCTCTGATGCACAAGCAATAGGGCTGAGTCAATGAACCAGAGCCATCAGGAATTGTTGTCCTCTCATTCTCCAGGCAAGTGGGCTAAAGAAGGGACAAAGAGGAGGAAACCTCATGTTTACCTGTATGAAGTAGTCAAGGAAACCTCAAAGGTTTCAAACTCCATGCAATTTTATTTCCTACACCTGGGCTTTTCTCGTGTAGACAAGAATGAGGACTTAAACAAAAGTTTTCAGATGTGGCCTGTATACCTATAAGCTAGAATGTCCTATACACAATCAGTCAAAATAAATTGAGAACATCAGTTTACATAATCTGAGAACCTGGTCCAAAGACTCCATTTGGACTTGCATTTTTGTTTTGTTTTGTTTTTCCAGATGACGATTAAAACTGCCAGCATTTGTTTTGTTTTGTTTTCCCTATCATTTATCTAGTCAGTCTATACATATTCTATCACATACAGTAATTATTTAAAAAATTAACCATGACACTGTCCTATTCAGTTAAGGCTTTGTATCATACCCAGCACCATATTAGTGAACCTAAATTTATTGCATCTAGTGCATGCTATTGCTTTATCGAATGAACATTGTGCAGACTTCATTATTTAAAAAATCTAAAATTCTATTTCAGAAACTTCTGATATTGCTTGTGTCCCTGGAAAAGCATTGTGCAGACACTTGCATCTAGTAGAATATTATTCATTTCTGAATACATAGAAACAGATCTCTGAATGAACAGCAATTTCTTATACAGTATTTAGTAAAAAGCAGTAACTAAAAACCAAAATAAGGTAAAGCATTCACTTTCATTATTGAATATTTTATCTTTATTATTGTAATAGAGTTACAGTGTGACATAAAATAAGGAGCTTTTGCTAAACTCTGTAAAGCAAATACATGCTTCTGCCATAAACAACCTCTATTAGATTTAGATTTTATTGCCACATTACTGCACTGATGTGCAATAAACATTCAATGTCATCTTTTTAAAATTATCCCAGGAGTAAACAGAAACTGTCCTCTATAAGAGTGTATCATTATTTTCAAGGAAGACTTACTATTATTACATGGTTTAGCAAAGCACTGTAAAAAAGCTACATAGCGAATACTTTGTATTTGATAAACTGTGCAATCAAATTTATACAGTATACTATTCACATAGACTAATAAACTAAGAGGTGATATTATGCAGTCATTGCATAGCAAAAAGCAGACTAATTAAGTAATATTCACATCTAATGTGCAAAATGCAGACCAAAAGGTATAGCTTGGAAGGTAAAACACCCTAACTGAACACACTAGATTAACGCCAAAATAACAAGATAAACAAGTACACAGAAGTTAAAGAGCCATATTTTATTTTTTTCTATACATATGTCTACACATGAACCAGAAGATGAAACATCCGCTTTAATAAACTCCAATCAAATTAGCTCATCAAATTTAGACAGGATTAAATGTTTGACAATGAAAAATAGTTTTTGGTTTTTTCTAAAGAAAACTCCAATGATTTGTTTTTATAGACTGTGAATTGTAACCTCTTGAATTATTGAGAAAGAGTTTAAAAAACATTGCCTAAAATGTAACTATGAAACTTGACTGTCTAATTAACTATTTTGCTGAAGGTTCATGTGGCATTGTTTTTAAATTAACTTAATATAATGTTTTGTGGATTCTGAAGTAATACTGGCAAAAATCCATCAATCTCTCAATTTCTCTGAAAAATCCTTATCTGAAATTTATACTTCTAAGAAGTTTTCAGTAGTAATGAAATTTACTAGAATTGTTTTAAAGGTAATACCATACCTGCAAAATGGACATCTTGTATTTAAAGCCCTTACATATTGTTCCTACAAATATATTGCTACAGTAAAAATGAAATGTAGTAAGTTTATCCAATAAAATCTATTTTCCTGTACATTCTTTTGTGTATGATTTTGTATTGAATGCTACATATATTACATCACTTATTGTAACAGTTATGTGTCAGCAAATATAGCAGTAATATACAGACGATTTTTGTGTCTTAACAAGTATTTTACCAGTTTTTCCTACTAAATATACCCCATTTTTTAGTATTTATGCATGACCTGAGCAGACCAGTCATTTATCTAATAGTATACATTGGATGGCATTATCAAATTGCAAACGACTGTACACTTAGCCACTTTACAAATTTTCTCTTTCTTTCTTTCTTTCTTTCTTTCTTTCTTTCTTTCTTTCTTTCTTTCTTTCTTTCTTTCTTTCTTTCTTTCTTTCTTTCCCTTTCCAGGACTACTGACTTTTTTAATGCAGGCTCTAAATATGTTTCCTTTACCATTTAACAACATATTAAGAGCTAAAATAGATGAACTCTACACAATATTTTAAGAACACAACTTTAAAAAAGTAAAAAAGTACAATCTCATGCTGCATATTTACATATATTATTTAAATACTATATTTTTCTTTTTGCTATCCATAAATTTTAATCTAAAGCTTTTTAATGTACTGTTTTATAAAAGAATACATTCAACATATCTAGAGCTTGCAAAACATTTTTTCTTTCTAAAACATATTATAAATAAAAGCTACCTGTAAAAGCATCCAGGTGTTGGTTTGATTACATGGGGGTAAAGGGCATTTGAATTCTATTCTTAATTGTGCAACTGATTTCATGTTTAGTCTAGTGACAAATTAATGCTTAGACCAAGACTGCCTGAAGACAGCAAATTAAAGCATTCATTGCCACTGAATCATAGGTGCTGTACAGTGATAAACTGCCCCAAAAGTATGCAGATTTTCCTGTCTTTAAGAACATCTAATATTATTAGACCAGTAACTGGAGATTGGGGAGGAGGAGAGAAAGAGCTGGAAATACAATGTATCTTATGGAATTTGACAAAATTCAAAGCTTTACAACCTTGAAAAAAACTACCACATAAACAGTGCTCTATAAATGGCAAGCACACTACAGAATGTGCTACACGAACATCGTATTTCCCCCAAAGTCATTTTGCATAAAATATTTCATGAAAATGTACAGTATCTTTGTTGGGACATTCAGTAATAAGCTATCTACAAATGATTTAGAATTTGTTTTCATTACTAAACTTTTCCTCTCCCTTCTTCAGAATCATGGTTCCCAGGTGTGTACATTGTTATGGCCTTAGTATACAGGATTACTTTTTTAAATATACTTTTTAAAATAAAGAAACCTTCATTTTCTTTAAGACAGAGGCAATGAAACAAATGGGAATTACTGTGCATCAAACAGAAAGCAATTCCCAGTGCAAAAGACTAAACAAAATTACATGAGTTAACAGGATTATTGATGTGGAGTTGGGGCTTTCAGCTGGGGTTCCCTGTTTAAGTAAGTTGCCCAGTAGACTAAATTAAAGATTCCAAAAAGCAGTGGAAAAGCTATTCTTGATAGTCGATCAATTTTGCTGACACTGTTAAAAGTTTTCTTGGGTTCTGCTGGTTTTGTTTCTGGTTTAACTTCTTTGGGCTCTATTGTTGCACTTTTAGCAATGGTAGCCAGTCCAGGGTCTCTGGCAATATTAGGGGTATAGCTTGTTGCTGCTGCTGTGTATGTGTTATTTTTCTTAATGAGAGGATCCTTCAGTTTCTTTGGCTGGGAAAAGAAAAACATAATTCTTATTTAGGCCCATCTTTTCAGTGGATAATATTGTTATAATATAATATAGTAAAAAGTGTTATTGCTTACAGGTTGAAATTATACATCAAACTGGACAAACTAGATGTTAAGTGTGCATGGAAATTTGCATAAAACACTGTATACAAGCACAAGGCGCAATCTTTAAATTTAAATTACTATTCCTGGAAATAAAGCAACTAATTAATTTCCCCAAAATATTAAGAATAAAAAATACATTTTAGAATAGGCTATTTTTTAGAGTGAAGCAAAGCAATATTTAGTAATATCTGCAATAACAATCCAAAAGTAGCAAACTAAACATAGTTCATTATCTTCTGAATCAAATGACTAGAACAAATAAATTGAATTTGAGAGATATCCAGAACATAAAATTATTTCCAAATTTGTCATTCAGATACCAAGACATATGTTGCATGATTTCTAATACAAATGATCATATATATCATTTTTATCTTCCTTATATTGAGGGTGCAACTACACTGCAGGGCTTAACTCGAAATAAGCTATGCAAATTGAGCTACATCAATTGTGTATCTCATTCTGAAATAGCTTATTTTGAAATAGAGAGCATCTACACAGCACTTATTTTGAAATAGCAGTCTCTTCCTTTGACTTCCCTTATTCCTCACACAAAGAATCATAGGCTATGTCTACACTGCAGAGAAAAGTCAGAAAAAGGTACGCAAATTGTGAACTGCAACTTGAATATATTTTTCTGCTTTTTTTCCAAAAGAGGCTTTTCTGAAATTTGGCCCTTCTACAAAGGGCCAAATTTTGGTAAAACCTCCTGTTTTGGAACATCCCTTATTGCTCTCACTGAGGCTATGTCTACAATAAACTGCTTCCAGAAAAAGCTACACAAATTGGCTACGTCTAGACTGGCATGATTTTCCGCAAATGCTTTTAATGGAAAAGTTTTCCGTTAAAAGCATTTGCGGAAAAGAGCGTTTAGATTGGCACAGACGCTTTTCCGCAAAACCAATCTAGATGCACTTTTGCGCAAAAAAGCCCCGATCACCATTTTCGCGATTGGGGATTTTTTGCGCAAAACAAATCTGAGCCGTCTACACTGGCCCTTTTGTGCAAAAGTTTTGCGCAAAAGGGACTTTTGCCTGATCAGGAGCAGCATAGTATTTCCACAAGAAGCACTGATTTCAGACAGTAGGAAGTCAGTGTTCTTGCGGAAATTCAAGTGGCCAGTGTAGACAACTGGCAAGTTTTTCCACAAAAGCAGCTGATTTTGCAGAAAAACTTGCCAGTTGCGAATTGTAATTTTTTTTTGTGTTGCTTTTTCTGATTCTTTTTTTGGAAGAGGGTTTTCAGAAGAAGCTAATCAGATTGGTCAGGCATGACTTGCCCTTGGTGACTCCATGTTGACTATTCCTGATTACTTTCCCCTCTTTCAAGTGCTTTGAAGTGGATTCCTTGAGGATCCCCTCCATGATTTTTCCAGGGATTGACATAAGACTTACTGGTATGTAGTTCCCTGGATTGTTCTTCTTCCCTTTTTTAAAGATGGGCACTACATTTACCTTTTTCCAGTCATCTGGGAGCTCTCCCAATCTCCACAAGTTTTCAAAGATAATGGCCAAAGGCTCTGCATTGACATTTGCCAACTCCCTTAGTACCCTAGGATGCATTAAATCTGGACCCATGGATTTGTGTATATCTAGCTTTTCTAAAAGTTCCTATTCTTTCTTCACGGAGGGATGCCCACCTCCATCCCATACTACATTGCCTGGTGCAGTAGTCTGGGAACTGACTTTGTCTGTGAAGACTGAGGCAAAAAACATAAAAATAAAAATTGAGTACTTCAGCTTTTCTCACATCATCTGTCACTGGGCTACCTCCCTCATCCAGTAAGGGCCCAACATCCTCTCTGATCACCCTCTTATTGCTAACATGACTGCAGAAACCTTTCTTGCTACCCTTTACATTCTTTGCTAGCTGCAATTCCAATTGCGCTTTCACCTTCCTGATTACTGCCCTACATTCTTGAGAAATATATTTATACTCCTCCATAGTCATCTTTGCAAGTTTCCACTTCTTATAAGCTTCCTTTTTTTGTGTTTAAGCTCACCCAGGATTTCCCTGGTAAGCCTACCTGGTTGCCTATTATATTTACTTTTCTTACTGCGCATCGGAAGGGTTTGGTCCTGTGCCTTCAATAAGGCTTCTTTAAAATACTGCCAGCTCTCCTGGATTCCTTTCCCCTTCATGTTAGCATCGCAGGGGATCCTGCCCATCAGTTCTGTGGGAGTCAAAGTCTGCTTTTCTGAAGTCCAGGGTGTGTATTTTGCTGCTCTCCTTTTTCCCTTTTGTCAGGATCCTGAAATCCACCAACACATGATCACTGCTGCCCAGGGTTACAGGAGTTGAAATAAGAAGTCCTTCAGCTTGACAGTATTTGGAAACTATTTCGAAATGATGCCTTTTGCTGATTACCACTGGGCTAGCTGAGTTGTAATGGTTGGTGTTTAAGAACATAAGAACATAAGACCCATATTGGGTTAGACCAACCGTCTATCCAGCCCAGTATCTTGTCTGCCGACAGTGGCCAATGCCAGATGCCCCAGAGTGGGAGAACACAATAGGTAATCCTCACGTGATCCCTCCCCTGTCACCCATCTCCAGAGAAATAGAGGCTAGAGACACCATTCCTGGCTAATAGACATAGAGGGGCCTAATCTCCATGCAGCTATATAGCTTTTTTTTTTTAACCCTGTTAAAGTCCTAGCCTTCACCACATCCTCAAAAAAGAAGTTCCACAAGTTGACTGTGCACTGTTTAATTCTGAACATGTACTGCTAGAAAACTGTATATCCCCAGGCCTTTTAAAAATATCTCACTGGAAAGTACAAACCATCCTAGAATGCTGCTAAATTAAACAGTGCTTATATCTCAATAGAAAGTGACTGAGTTATATTAGACATACTAGATCCTGGTCTTTGATCAGCCATTGTGCTAATTTGAACGTCTAAATTAGTCTTAAAGTCTTTTAAATGGCTTTAATATATCTGCCATATGGTAATCTCACCTGGCATAAAGCTGTAGGCAGTCCTACTTCCCACTATAGCCTTTGTAGATGAACAAGTTGGAAAATAAGTTTGGGTGGAAGGGAAAGGAAACATGAGGGAAGTACTATGGTGTTTCAGCTACCCCTGCTATGTCTCAGAAGGACTCTAAGCTATGTTTGACACTGAGGCCAAAATGTGATATTTTGCTCCTTGAACAGAAAAAGAAGGCATAGATGAAAAAGAACCTTTAACAGATTATTTTATTTATATAAACAAATATAATTCTGTATACATTTTTATTTATATTTTCTGTCCCCAACCTCCAAATAAGGGAAGAACAAGAAAAAAAAATAGAACCAGCGGAAAAAAGAAAGGGAGGCAAAGAGGAGAAAGTAGAGTGACTTCTCATTTTTCATCCAAGAGAAATTAATATTTCTAAAAAGTTAGACCAAATCCCTGTGTGAGGCCTCACTTCTTCAAAACTGTGGGGCAGCACGTATCCTTGAGGTTGAGGAAAAGCCTTCAAATCCGCTTCAGCATAAATGTTCCAGACTATTTCCACCTAATTCCTTTTCAAATTTGAATGAATGTTTATAGATTTCTACACTGGCCGCTTGAATTTCCGCAAAAGCACTGACTTCCTACTGTAAGAAATAAGTGGTTTTTGCGGAAATACTATGCTGCTCCTGTTTGGGCAAAAGTCCCTTTTGCGCAAAACTTTTGCGCAAAAGGGCCAGTGTAGACAGCTGAGATTTGTTTTGTGCAAAAAAGCCCCTATCGTGAAAATGGCGATCAGGGCTTTCTTGCGCAAAAGCGCGTCTAGATTAGCAACGGACGCTGTTCCGCAAAAAGTGCTTTTTTTTCCGAAAATTCTTTTAACGGAAAACTTTTCAGTTAAAAGCATTTCTGGAAAATCATGCCAGTCTAGACGTAGCCTTGATGTTGTCAACAGCTTTTGCTACTTGATCACATTTTAATCTAATTCATGATTATGTAGGGATAACTCACTATGGGCAAACCAGGTTCAAAGATAAATGCCGTCATTGCTGTTCATGAAGAAGCAGCAATGAAAAGTAGATGTTATAGAATGTGTGTGTGTGTCTGCAGATTCAGCCCTGTTTCATGTTTCACTGGTAATGTCAAAGGAATTTGATTCTTTGTTTTTACACACTGCTGTTGCTCTCATACGTTGATGTAAGGGATAAATGATGTTCAAAAATATGGGTGAGAGAGGGAGGAGCTAGTTTCTTCAGAATCATAAGAAGTCCCTGTTGTCTAATAACCATAACAAAGGCCTAAACCAGATTAATGAAGGCTACTGAGTGGCACTCGTTTTTCTCTATACTTGTCCTGCGGTTGCTTAACCAAAAATCAGCGGTGGAGCTTCCTGAGTAAAATCTGCATTGTCTTTCAGTATAGATTCTTTCATTTAGAGATTGCAAGCCTACAAAGCATGTTGTGAGTAGTAACTTCTCTGATAACATTCAAAAGGAAAATACCTCCATAGATGTCACAGTCACTTCTATCCCCCTTGTTTTTGTATAATTGTATACCACATAAATAGGTCTTTTTCTATACTTGGTTATGTGTGCCTGCCATCATCTACACACATTTTTCACTTTTGTTAATTTACGGTGCTGGGAGTGAAGAATTTTGAAGAAATAATAATGAAAAGGTTTTATTTTGTTCTCGATGTTTGTTGGTTTATAAGATAAAAGCCCCACAATTTGTTTCTGATTTCCACAGAAAAGGATGGTATATATATTTGCTAATATGTAACTTCCACTATTGTGGAATCTGATCAGAGATTCCCTTGAGGCTCTTCTCAGATGCAGATGAAGCCCATTCACAGAGTCATGATTTCTAGGCTTTTTCACTGAACTTATATTAAGAAATAAAGATTCACCTGGACAAGCTCCGATTATTCAAAACCCTGTAGTCTGTCTATTTAGCAACCATAGTATCCCACTCTTTGCACTGACTAATAGTCTCATAGGCTACGTCACAAAAGCCCCGATCGTCATTTTCGCGATCGGGGCTTTTTTCCGGAAAAGACTATTGGGCTGTCTACACTGGCCCTTTTCTGGAACAGGGTTCCGGAATAAGGACTTATGCCCGAGTGGGAGCAGAATAGTTTTTCTGGAATAGTGGCTGATTTTGTACAGTAGAGTGTCGTTGCTTTTCGGGAAATTCAAGGGCCAGTGTAGACAGCTCGCAGCTTATTCTGGAAAAGTGGCTGATTTTCCGGAATAAGTGGTCCAGTGTAGACACAGCCATAGACTTTAAGGTCAGAAGGGACCATTATGATCATCTAGTCTGACCCCCTGCACAGTGCAGGCCACAGAATCTCACCCACCCCTCCCAGAATAATCCTCTCACCTATATCTCAGATATTGAAGCCTTCAAATACTTTGAAGACCCCGAGATGCAGAGAATCCTCTAGCTGTGAGCTGTACCCCATGCTACAGAGGAAAGCGAAAAACCTCCAGGGCCTCTGCCAATCTACCCTGGAGGAAAATTCCTTCCTCACCCCAAATATGGAGATCAGCTAAACCCTGAGCATGTGGGCAAGACTCATCAGCCAGACACCCAGAAAGTTCTCTATAGTTACTCCCTGTTGAACATACTGTACAGTTTAAGATATCCATGGTATTAGACCTAGATATTTCTGATTTCCATAGAAATCAGATTTCCATAGAAATACCTCTCTTATCCTTCAGAGATATGCTCTACCATGAAAGCTACCTTTTAGTGGCACAATTAAATAATTATTCATTGTGTCAGACAGAGCTCTCCAAAGGGCTGGATTTAGATTATGATATTCATTCCACGAGAAATGAGAATGACCATCACCATGTTCAGAACTTAATGGAAAGCTCATTTACTTAACTTAGTTTTCTCTCATCGATTTCTTCCTACTCCCAGACTTGCAAATAGGTCCCGATCCATAGCTTTTGAAAATCAAGAGACAGATATTAACTGCTTTTAGTGCACTTTGGATCGGGCTCACAGACACTACACATATCCCCTGTATGTCTGTCTGTCTGAGACACACACACACCAGCTATGTCTACACAGCAGCATTATTTTGAAATAACATAAGTTATTCCAAAATAATGTAGTGCGCTTCTAAACAGCAAGCTTGTTATTTCAAAATACAGTAAACTTCCGATAATCTGGCACCTTTAGGACCCAGGGGGTGCCGGACTATCAGATATGCTGGGCTATGAGGGGTCTGGAGTGGGGTGGGAGGGGTTGCCACCCCAGAGCCCTCATAACCCCCCCTTCTGATAGTCCGGCCCTGCCCCAGGCATTAATGTAGTGCGCTTCTAAACAGCAAGCTTGTTATTTCAAAATACAGTAAACTTCCGATAATCTGGCACCTTTAGGACCCAGGGGGTGCCGGACTATCAGATATGCTGGGCTATGAGGGGTCTGGAGTGGGGTGGGAGGGGTTGCCACCCCAGAGCCCTCATAACCCCCCCTTCTGATAGTCCGGCCCTGCCCCAGGCAT